GGGAGGCCTGTGGGCGGGTCTCGATGGCAAGATGTGTTTAGCTCCGTGTCATTGCGTGATTTTTGTTCAGTCTGGTGGGGGGATTCAACTACCCGACTGGGAATACCAAAGTCATGCAACACAAATACCATATGCTCCAAAGATGCGCACAACAGCTTGATAACGGACGGCGCTCAAAGTTAAATGGCCTGTCATCAACAAGCATCACCATGAGAGCCCTGCAAAGGTGTTTCGCTTTTTTCTGAGTTAAGGAAATTGGTGCCTGGGGTGCCCGCTGGCGGTTCTCGGTTGGGATTGGCCCTGACAAGACCGCAGTTCTCGTTGTTGGTTTCAGATCTTCGGATTTTAGATTCACTCTTCAAGGTTTGGACGTGCCTGTTGTTACCGAATACTGCTATTTGGGTGTTGGTTGTCTTCCAATCTTCCAAGCATCCAGGAAATGAACGAAGCACAGCGATCGCCTTGCCGCAAAAAGCACGCACAAATTTCACCAGTCCGTCGCCTGGGCTGAAAAGCGTGGTTTCCAGACTTCCGTCGCAGCTTGTTTCATTCTTGTGTGCTGCCGTCATTGCTCCATGGTGCTGCTTTCCTGGATGATACATCTATCCGTCGTTTGGGCAAGCTAATGCGGCAATGGGGGCGGCGTCTGCTTTCCTGGCCGGCTGACGCCCCTGGTGCTCTGTGTTGGGCGACCTTGGCTGGGGCCACTTCTCCATCGAAGTGCATAAGTTGCAGGCAAATTTGTTTCGGGCGGCTTTTCTCCGCTAGTCCTGTCGGTGTCCATCGCGGCCTTGCAGCCCGCGTGTTCCGTTATGCCTTGCGTGTGCTCATGGGCACACGCAACTGCTGCAGCCTAAGCTCCGCTGGGGTCACTTTGCCTTCCGCTTTCGGTGTAATCCCTGGTTGTGCTCCTGGCTTGGTCGAACGCTGGAAAGAATGCTGCGTTCGCCCAGCCTTAGCGACCACAAGCTTTCGCCTGCGTCAGGCCGAATCAAGCCAACTGCCATATTTGGCAACCTTCCTCCAGTGCCATCCTGGCCTCGATTTCAGTTCAAGCGTTCATTGTTCCTGGTTGCCGGCATCTTTGGTCTGGGAATGGACATTAGCACGCTGTGGTCACCACCCTTTCCTGGATGGGCGGCCAGCCCTTCATCTTGCCTTGCATCAGCCATGCCTCTGTGGATCCGATGACTGGAGCCTTTTTGACGCCTTGCGCCCTTGCCCTCTTTTTTGCCCCTGGAGACGCACGTGTTTCCAACGCCTGCACTCATTGCTGCACATGTGTCCTTTGTTGCGGGCATTTGCCAAGCACAAAGGTCCCTGCTACGCGGCGTTGGACCACATGGTGCCTCTTGTGAGCTCCGTGATGCCTGAGCACTGTGAACAGATCTCATGTTGATCTTTGAGCGTTTCACGTAATTTCAATTTCTGACCGCCAGACGGCCTGTTTCAGGACTGGTGCTGCTTAGGATGTGATTGGTTCTGCGCGCCTCCTGAAATTGTGTGAAGAAATTCGTAGCTAGCAAGCTGCAAGCTTCAAACAACCAGCAACCAAATTCTCAAGCCTAGACAGAGAGGCCTTCATCTCGGACTCGCTGTTGCGCTATGCGAGAATGCATGGTGAAGGCCCACATGTAGCTGTACAGCTGGTGGCATTGACTTGATTCCGAGATTGAGTATCGACTTGGTCACTGGAAATGAAGAAGCAAAACTGCAATCGACTTTTTTGTTCGCAATGGGGTGGTAGTCAGTCATGTACCAACATGTGCCAACCACGTCCGCATTTCACTCTCTGGAGCCTTTCGCGGTGCTGCAGGGGATCAGGGTGGGTTGGTGGCAGCTCGATGGCTTTCTCTCTCATCTGATGGTGGACCTGGTTACTGAGGGTTTCCTGGCTGGTACAGCATTGCCAAAACTGCCTCAGTTGGCACTCCTGTTGGTCATCTGCTGCGGTAGGAGTGTTTGACTGCGTCAAATAGATGTGCTGGCTCCACCTGGCTTCTCTCTGCCCATGGGAATGGAAGATTGGATGCAAGGATGGACGCATGGATGGGGCGTCGTAGAAAAAAGCCGAGGCTGTGAACATCTCACAGAATGAGGCTGCAAAGCCAGTCTGCGCCTTGTTTTGTTTGAGAGCTCCCCATTGGAAGCATCAAGCTCTTTCCCAGTGCTACTTTCACCCTGGGAGCCTTTGAAACAGCAACTTTGGCATGTCAAAATTGAGGCTGCGCCTGCTTAGCAAGACGCAGTGTAAGGAAAACCCGCCACAAGGCATGCGGAAGGGTTGAAAATGCTATGTCAGGCAAGCTTCGCTTGCACTGGCAAAATCGACGTATGTACAAAGCTTAGGAAATAAATGCCCTTTGTCTAATCTAGCCAGTCGACCTAAACAGGAAAGCTTTCATCTCAAGATATTGATGACCTGTTGCCGAAGGACCTGCAGGCAGGTTTGCCTTTCAGTGTGCTCTTGGAAGGAATCTTGCCTGTTTCTGCCGCGTCAATAACTGCCTCAAATCGCCTGTTGCTGACTCAGGGACTCTCTTGCAGGCAAGGCCAGGTTCCGGATGCAACCGTTCAAACATAGAAATCCGCCTCTGCGAAGCTAGCGCTGCGGGCATGTCATCCGGCAAGGCGCACAGCAAGTCAGAATGGGAAAGGAAATGGCCTCGCAAAGGAACTTTAAAGAGAATCCGGCTTACTCTTACCTTGTGCACTTGGGCGCCGGGCAGCTGAGTGGTTGGCTTCGCTGCACTGTTCGCAACACGAAATCTTCACCCACCTTCCACAGGCGAAAGAAATGAGATCAGCGACTGCTCCAGCTTCTGGTCTAGCGTGCGTGCTGGTTATGGATCTGTAGCCCCTCATCATTCTAGATTTGGGAATTCAAATCTCACCTTGGAGCATGTGAGTGGGCTTTTGTTGCCCAAGGGAACTTGCACATCTCAATTCAAGGGCGCTATCCATTCTTTTGTGCAAAAATGACCTAGCCGGATTTTTTAACGAAATCACTGCTTAAGAAATTGCACCCCTTGACCAGCTGCCAACATGCTGCCTAAGCAAGATGCACTGCGCAGTTGACGAACCTCCTCCGCAAGCCTCGCACGCAAGTCATCTGCCTGGCTGAACAGTTTACATCAGGGAGGAAGCAAGCAAGGAAGATGAAGGTCAATGGACCGAGCTCTAAACCACGGACACTCAAAAACCAAGGAACGACTGGACACGTAGTGAATGAGTGGTAAAAGCGGTCTTACAGCAAGCCTCCCGGTACTCACTCAGAGGGAATTGCATGGAAGGCCGTCCAGCAAAGTGAACCTCGCCATACACATGCCATGGACTCAATTAAATTCACTCAAGGCTAAGGAGCTGTCCATGACATGCGGCTCGAGGAAACCAAGGGCAACTGGACCTCGCATCGGCAAGCTTTGCATCTCATCTGGGTGACATCGCAGGTACGACGGAGAAAAATCTAGATGTCCTGTGGCATCCTGCGGCATCCTGTGTTGCCCTATACTGTGGTGCAGGCAATTGAACCCTACCAAAAAAAAGAGTCCCACCGTGCATGTGGGACTGGACAAGATGCATGCTATGCGGGAACTTTTCAAGGACTCCCCTTTGCAATCAGCGGCGAATAGAGGAAAAAAGCCAGTGCTCTGCAAAGCGAAAGCAACTCGGCTTTGATTGATTTTGCTCATTTTGTTCTTCCATGACTGCACGTCCCCCTGCCAGATCTATGCGGAACATCCGTACTGCTTCGCGAGTCCCCACAAAGAAAAAGCCAGCAAACACTTGATTGAAGACAACGGGATCATGCAAGTAGAGCCGGACACTAGTATGGCGCCATCAAGCTTTCCCTGGATTGTCCCTCTCTGGCAGGCAGGATGCTGCCGCAGTCTCCTGCCACTCTCAACTAAAGCGAGCCCCTGAAATCTGAGCCGTACAAATTGCCGTCGAATATGGCAAGTACAGGCCCAGCACGCCACTCGGCACATGCAAAAAAGTGCAACTGAGCTTTGCACAAGCGAGCAATCGTAACCTCAGGAGGCTTGACAGATTCTGCCACGCCCTGCTTTGTTGCAGCAGCTGATTGCAGCTGCCTTACAGATCCCAAGTGCTGACGAAAGACGCCTCGCAACCTCCAATCTCAGCGGTCCTTTCCGCCAATGGAGATGGATCCTGGCTCTGCAGACTTCCGAGATCTGACTGCTTGTCTTAGAGCTTTGTAAGTTTAAAAGCTTACTTTGGTTCCTGTTGGTATCTAAGCTGCCGCCACAAGGTTCAACCCTGCTTGAAGCTTTGAAGTCTTCCTGAGGACAGCTGTCTCATGATGTCCTATATCTCAGGCCTGGTACAGAGGCTGTGCCTTGACGATGTAGCTTGCAGGTCTAAAGCAAGATAGCAATTCCACGGCAAGAGAAGGACACCAGCCGCAGGCAGGCTGGCTGAGACTGTGCTGCAATGGATCGAAACCCTCTGTGCCTTGGGCTTCCAAGTGTAGCCACGTCTTCTGCAGCCTAAACGGTGCGCGTCCACGTCACTGACATCTATATCAAATCGTTGTTGGACATATAGCGAACAAATCTCTGCAAGACAAGCAGTAGGTGATTGCAACTGAGGCCTCTTCCAAAACTCAGGGAAGCAACAGGGCAAACGCCATCTGCATGCCTCAGACGGAAGACTGGCCGTTTTTTACGGCCCTTCTCGTTGGCACCCTTGAACAGCTGATGCTGCGAATTCCTGCAGCCCCACCTTTTTCATGCCAGTGACTGAAAGTCTTCCAGATCTTCTGGCTGGATTAAATGCTTGGGCAACGCCGGAGCCCGTTTTGCAGTCAAGTAAGTGGAGTCTCCTCATCTGGAGTGTAGGGTGTTCCAGCGGCCTTGCCCATGCCTTGTGGAGCTGGCGGTCTTCAACGGCCACTGGAGCTGGGTTTCAGCTCCCGGCTACGCAGCGACGTCCTCTTCGGGGAAAGCTGGTGCCATGGTGGCGCAGGTGGTCCAATCTCAGATTGAGAAGCCGGGGCCGAGTTTGTCCACCAGTGCCTGCAACTATGGCACGCCAACGGAAGAAAAGATCAAGCGTTGATAGCTGGACCTTCGTGTAGTCTTGCAAGTCCGGATTGCTGCTGTCCTTTCGCCAGCGCAAAGACATGACATCCCAGTAGAATAACCAGCAAGTCGCAGAAAGCAAGCACAGGCTACAGCAGCAAGACTGGTCCCTGAAGTCACGTAGCTTGGCTTTTTCTTTTGGCCCTAGCGCCTTTGTGACCTTAATGGGAAAGCGCATGTAAGCAAGCATCTAACGCTGTCATGGGTTTAAGCCAAGCACTGCAGATGCCTGCGTCTCTGCTAGCGAGGTCAGAGCCAGCACAACCAGCGTCATGCCATTCGGGGTGACCTCATCACAACAACAAGCAAGGGATGCAGCGGTATCTAGTGACTAGCGGGCCAAGGAAACAAGAAGCTCAAAGCTGAGAACACGACTCTTGGCAGCAGGTTTGCTAAAGAAGTTGTGGCACCCTGGCACGTCAGAGAAGCACAACATGCTGGCACCGTCTCCACAGCTGGCGCCTGCGCAACTGCAGTTTCCTGTGCAGAAGGTCCCGATCCTCAGCCCATGTAAAGGAACTGTCGTGAGCAACCCAGCCGCTGCTTTGAAGCGCTCAGTAAGTAGGGCGAATGAAGAACTACGGCAGCCTGCGCGGATCTTCCTGAGGAACAGGCTGACGATGTTTGCCAAAGCACCAGCTGCCCACTCCGCTGCCTTGGCTCACCCAGCAACTAGCCGTAACTAGCCGTAACTAGCAACAAGAGTGGCACTGCCAATGCTGTGATTTCAAGCTTCCGACTTGGATAGCGTCAGCTTTCAACAGTTCTGCAAGGTCCTTGACCTGAGAGCTCCCGAAGCCACCAAAAGCTGCACGATACAACGCCCAGTTGAAGTTTAAGGCGCAGACAGCTGGAGTCACCTTCTCAGCACTGTCCGGTGAACCTGCCGTCATGTTCATCAGAGCGCCTGCTGCGTACCTCCAGGTAGGCAACGAGCGGCCATAGCTAATGGAACAAGCAAGGAAAAGGCAAAGGGGCTACCCTGAAGATGTGGGTGGTCACTCCTTGGCCATAGGATCTCCAAGCCTGGTGCCAAACTATCAGGCAAACTGTCCTTGTTCGCGACGACATATTCCAGGCCTCAGCATATCCATAAGGTACTCCAGGGTTCCTCCTTTTGCCAACTCAGCTTTCACCTCCGGCCATCTCCAGGACAAGTTCCTGGCAAACAGCTGCAAGGGAACCTGTGACGCCAACAGGCCAGAGCCAGCTAAGACGCATGATGCCCAAAGCGGCTTCGCCAATCATCTCCTAGCCGAAAACACTGACTGCTCGTCCTTTTGCAGTTAACACATTTAAAGCAAAAGACCTTGAGAAGAGCAATCAGCGGAGGCCCAGCTTTTGCTTGCCACACGGCATCGCAGGGACCATCCTGAAGGAGGCGGGAGGCGAGGCCGAGCCAAATTTCAGACTTCATTAGACGTTAAGCTTTGCCATTCATGCGGCATGACTCTAACAAAGCCCCACTCCTCGGCAGCCAGCATTGCCAGAGCATGGGCAGCTTGACGCTTAGCATCTTCAGATAGACCCGCTTCTTGAATCAGAGCCACAAGGGAAGGAATCATCTCACTAGCCTGGCAAGCCCAAGCTCAAGAGTCAGGCTAAACAACATCGCTGGCTGCAAAGGGTGCACCTGCTGGAAGCCCGTGTGTACGTTGGCACTGTGATCGTTGAAGAGGTTGGCAAGCGCTCCCGCCGCGCGCTCCTGTCACATCATTTCTCAGTGACGAGTGCATGGATGCCTTGGTAGATGCACGCTACTTGGCATGGCGGTCCTTCAAAATTTCATCTTCGTCCTTGAGAGACTTCGTCAAAGGCTTCAGCGCACCAGCTTCCACGATTCGCTCCTTGCATAGCAGGTTGGGAAAGCGTAGCCACCCTCATCTAAAGAATCACCACTACCTTGATCTTGCCATGGGGTGCCAGGTTCATGAGCAAGGCAGCGGCCTCACAGCAATTGAATGGCTGGTCCAGGATCCTGCCCATAACGGACAGCTGAGGCAGCCGCACTACGCCGCACATCAATGTCAGGGTCGCCGAGAAGCGAGACGGTTTTTCGTGTCACCTGTGCCTGACACGCATACAGACATCTAGGCATGATGAGGCAACCTGCGTCATCCTCCGTGTTCAAAAGAAGCTGCTCATGCACAATCCAGCCAAGCCTTGTAGATTTGGATTTGTCGATCTGCACTTCCACTGGCCAAATTTGCCAACGCACCGAGCGCCTCTCACCGGCTGCAGCTCTGAGAGAAGCACCCGGCAAACTGAACCAAAGTGGCACCTCTGAATGGCCAGAAGATCGGGATAGCAAGCTGGCCAGCGCGGGGATGGCGCTGAGTTTCGCTGCATCACTTGCAACTTCCATTTCCTCAGGGATGTGAAGCTGCCGCCGAAGTTTTCAGCGAGGAAAAGTGTTTCCAGCACAACCTGCAAACACCTGTCCCCACGCATGAGGTTCATCAATGCGCCGGCAGCATACTCCCGTGCCAAGTCGGGACCGTCCTCCAAACACTCGTCCCGTGAGCCCCGTAGCGGATGCGTACAGACTTAGAGCCCACTTGCCTTGACAAGGTTGATCAAAGGTCCAATGGCATTGTTGGCCACGATCTCCTATCTTCTTGCAGGTTCAAGGCTAAGCATCCTTCAAGATCGACAAGCAAATGCCCACAGCAGGCCCAGCCTTTGCGTAGTCTGAGCAATCGCTTGCCAGATTCAACAAGGCTCCAGCTGCTTGGGTGCTCACCTGCAAAATGACTTTGGCAGCTTCATCAAGACATTAGGCAATCGCGGCAACGCGTGCCTCCGGTTCATAGCTCGGCTGCAGAAGCTCGCAGAGCTTGGGGATGGCATTGCACTTGCTGATCGCCTGAGAGAGAGAGAAAAAGGCTGCATCAAAACAGGTACCACACCGATGCACTAAGGCGCCAACAGCCCGAGCCTCTGCGGACATCGTAATATGCATCAGAGCACCTGCAAGACCAAACAATCTGCACAGGGCAGAATGCAGAGCAGAAGATAGGAGCTGGATTTTGTAGCCACGCCTGCAGCATTTTCTTGTGCAATATCAGATGTGTTCTTCAGGAGGTCAGCCAGCTTGGGCACTGCCCCCAAGCGTGCAATCGCATCCTCAGAACAAAACGGTCCAGCCGGCAATTTCTGAAGGATTAGAAAACATGCGCTGCCTGCACTCCTGGCCAGAATCTGAAATAAGGGTCGGGCACTGTTCTTTTCGTGGCCAACAGTCAAGTTCCAAATAGCGTAAGCCGCTTCTTGAGCAGCAGTTGCCTTAGGAGCTGAGGGAAAGTCAAGTGTCACTTACCTGAAGGCAGCCAGGGACCCCAGCACCGCTGGACAGGAGCTCTACGAGCTTCCCGAAAATGCCAGCCTCACATTGCAAGCGTACAAGATCCAAGATGAGACGAAGCACAAAGCACACACGAGTCAAATCACCAAACGGAGAGCCTGTTCCCTGTTGAACCAAACTCAAAACTATCGCCTCTGCAAGCTTGTCCTGATTCTCAGGACTTTCATGACCTGAGCGCTGAAAACAATTTTCTGCACAATCCAGCGCGCCAGCGCAAGGTGCTAAGCAGCAAACAAAGATTGCCAAGGACAGCTGCAGACATCTCCTTCCATATATCAATGAACGCAGACTTGCTGGAACGAACAACTATCTTGGACTGCCTCGCCTGGAAGGCTTCGTTTGAACTGGATAGCAGTTCCCGAAGGCTCGGAACAGCACCACCAGCAATCATCTGGAGAGTAGGAACGTGAATTTTCATTTCATGATCCCAAACTGCACGTGTATGTTGTAAATATGGAAGACCCCAGCCTCTGTACCGATGTCTGAGCCAGGCTGTGTGACTCCGGCATCTGTCAGCATCAGCATCAGCTTGAGCGCTGCTTCCTGAAGACTTCGACCAAAGGCCTCCTATCTCCTGGAGCCTGGGCAATTCCACTGCCTTACCTGACTCTTGCTGTCCCCCAACATCTTTGACAATGGCGTGGCCTCAGTCTGACATGTCTAGATCACTTAGGCTTCGAGATACCGTGTAAGGCTTGTGCCAGCCCTTCACTGGCAATCTGCACGCAGAGCCTGCGATGCGTCTACGACACATGGCAGTCCGTTTCTGTCACAGTCACTAAAGGGCTTGATCAAAGACAGAAGACGGAACCATACGCACTGTACATTCTACACCACACGGATTCGATATAATCAGCGAAGCGGCTCGTCGTCACCACGCAGCTTCTCCTCCATCTGGCGAACGGCCTGAGTCGCAAACATGCCTTTCAATTCGACTCACAGTTGCTGACAATTAAGCCCACACTGCAGGCCTCAACATCCCCAGACTGGATTCGCCTGCCCGTTGCAGAACAAAACCCCAACTCAAGGCATCCACATCAATCACAAGCAAGTCAGATGCCTCGCGAGCTCCCGCAGAGATGCAGGTGCTGGCCCTGTTGGCTTTGGAGAGGCCTGCCCACGCAGTCGCCATGCATTCTGCTTATGGCCGTTCCTCTCAAACTATATGCCAAGAAAATGTCCTTGGTGGACTGCTGAATCTTTGTCGTCACCTGCTCCAGCGGACTTCAGCGACCACGCCAAGGCATATCGTCACTCACAGCACCTTTGTCGAGGAAGTTGTTGTCGACGAAGTTGCTGATGCTGCGGGCTTGGTCTCCTAACAGTCTGAGACGCTCAGATTTAAAACAACCAGGGGCAGACTTGCCTTGGGCTCGGATTTCTCGGAAGCTGGCACAGCTCGGCCTCAAAGCAATAAGCAAGCTGGCGTTTTGCAATGTGGTGCGGCAAGACCACGTCCGCCTGGAAAACGCTGCGCAAGCAGGCTGAGCATTATCGACTGCTGCCGGCTGCTCAAAGCGTCCATGGCCTGACATGAAACTACCATGCTCAGAGTTTGAATGCTGGTTGGTGCTCCCCAAGGAGTACCTTCGGAGCACCGTCTACAGCTTCGGCCAGCAACATCTCCGGCAGAGTGTCTGGCCTCTCGTCAAAGCGATTGCTTAAGGTTGCAGATGTGTGGCTCTTTGAACCTCGGAGTGAAGTCTATCCAAGTGCCATCCTGGGTTTTGAGTGCCACTGAGGCTGTCAGAAAGCTGTTTTTGTATGCCGAGCCAGGCACAGGCAAAGAGTTCCACCAAAATCGCTCCGCTACGAATGCCTCACTGACACCTTTGTCTAAGTGCTCGTACCTTGGCCAACACGGCAATGCCGTCCACAGCGACATGCAGGAAAAAAAACGTACATGCTTAGCACAGGACACTGCCCAGCCGCGCACGACATCCATGCCAGCAGCCTTGACCGATCGAGCGTGGTCTACCCAACATCAATGACGAATGATGAACAACAAGAATTCCCCATGATTGGATATTTGAAGCCGAACCTTGGCAGCACGTTCAGCATTTGAGAAGCTTTGCAGCGGGTAGAATTGCAGACCCTCAGCAAGAGGCGATATGCTTGCAGCTCATACTCCACATCTTGCAGCGCCCACCTTGACCATAGACAGCTGCGAAGCATCAGGGCCTGACAAGGAGCCACAGTGGGAACAAAGCTACACGCCAGAGGCAGGCATACCTCACCGGTAATTAGTCAGCAGGCCTGGAACCACCCCAACCTTACTGCAATTGTTGGTTGGCATGCGCTCTTGAAGGATATCCCTCTCAGCAAACTTGTCCAGATTGCGACCAGGAGACTTTCTTGCCCGCACACTTTCCCTTTTTGCCAACTAATTGCTTTAATGCCTTGCTGGAGCCATAGACACCAGGCCAATCCCTTGGAAAACCAACCTGGCAGCACAGAATGTCTTCTGATCGTCATAACATGGCCGGCACAACTGATACATAGAAACAAACAGCCTTTCCAAAGTGCTCGGGATCCAGGTCCGCAGTGGACACAAAATCGTCACTGTCCAACCAGAAGCCCTGGCAAAAGATGCCCGCAAAGGTGTTAAAGTCACTGCAGCTTTGAAAAAACCTATATAATTCGTAGATAATCCCTACATATGCCCTCCATCTAGCTCTATCTGACCCTGCGACATCCCGATCTATTCCTGTATAAGCCTATATACTCCTAGGTGGATTGACCGGCACCAACAAGATTCACAGGCCTGGCTCTTGCCGACAACGGCTTCCTGGCCTTCTGCATCAAGCAACTTAGCCATTCCTTAGCCACCCGATTTGACTTTCCACCGGCAGAAGCCTGGCAGTATTTTGAGCACCCAGTGAGCAACACCACATCTGTAGACAAGGAGCTCAAAATTGGGATAAAATCTGCTCTACATTGGTCAATTCCATGCAAAGAGCCGCAATAGCTGCAGGCAAGCAAACACTGCAAGCCCCAAAGAGGCATCCAACAGCAGCTGCAAAAGGAAATTGGCAGGATCAGGGTCACCAGCTTCAATTCTTGAGGCTCTTGCGACCCGGCTTTGTCCACCACTAAGCCTGTCGAGGCTCTGCACGAGCTCTTTGAAGCAACATTGTGCAAAAAAAAAAAAGGAAACACTGATCGAAATGCTCATCAGCATTCAAGGATGCGACTACTGGGCCCAAGCTGAAATCCAACGATCTCGTCCGCACCTCAAGGCTTACGCCAGCGCTGGCATGATTCTGACCCGGGATGTTGTCAGGGGCCACATAATGGCGTCTCAGTCTCATACGAAGGCGCGCTCGAAGCTTTGCCCCGGCACTTGGCCAAGAGCAGGTAGCACCTAAGCCAAACAAGACCATGTCCTAGATGGTATGGGATCACCCTGGCATCACTGCGGTTTAACCCTGTGCAGACCCACGCACCCAGCAATAAGTCAGCAACACAAAAGCGGCCTAACCAAAGCCACCGCACCAAAGCTTTTGAGAAACCCATGACAGCCGGCTGTGATTTTTCCAACGCATGCAATGCCTCGTGAAGCGAGTGCACGAAAAGGAGCCCCGGGCCGTAGTCGCAATGATTCGCAATGCTGCTGATAAGATGCAGGGTTCTATTTCAGGTGCACGATTTCATTGTTGGTGGCTTACACTTGAGCCGCTTCCAGTTTTGCGGCATGAGGAGTTATGCTTTTGGGCACGCTTGAACTTGGAGGCTACCCTTAAAACCGAATGCGATAGACTAGTCGGAACATGTGACGCTGCCCCCCAAACAAAAACTGTCACCTGTTCACCTATACAAGTTTCTGGGCGCTTCTGTATCGTGAGCGCAATGATGGCTCTAAGAATTGGTGGGGTGCAAATGCCCACGTCATCCCAAGTCTGTTTGTGACGCTTCGTGTTGGAGTTGGAGTTAGAAGCTGCTGAAATGATTGCAACAAGGCAGAAGCTTCACACAAAATCTTGGAGACGTACAGCATGCTCTTCCAGTTCAAGATTTTGCCTTCAAAAATGCCCAGGTAACGTGATGCAATCTTTGACTCGAGCGCTAGGTTCATGAATTCACCGGCTGAGCCCTTCATAATGCTAAGCATTCCAAACATTGTCGTACGGATTCGCAACAACTAATCTGAGTTCGGACCTTCAAACAGGAATATTGCTGGGGCCCAAAAACCTGAATCTGTGAAAAGTCTACATTCCGCAGATTGAGACTTGCAACCACGCATGGCCCAATGACAGGCACTGAATTCAGCATTCGCGGATTTTGAAGCGCTTAAGCTTCAACTGGGCCAAGCTCGACCAGTAGCAAGATTGAGAGTAGGAGACCGCAAAGCATACTTCTAAATGCATCCAGAGCCCCATGTTTTTTCTAGACCTGGGCTCTTCATGCTTCTATGTCTGCGGCTATCCAGCTGGTCCTAAACACCAAAAGCACGCTTGAGGTACCTGACAAACCTGGAATGGAGCTGCTATCCTCCTGGCCCCTACAAACCACCATTTGCGGTCAGGTCAGGTGAGGTCACTATAGTTTGCCCACGATCGCTCTTGCCCAGCATATAAAACTACAGGCAAGGAGTCATCCAAAAGTGTCTCCTTACATCAGGGACACCGGTCCTCTTGCCTGGCTAAAGCACATGTGCCCAACTTCTGCGGGACCAAAAGTGGAAGGGTGCACGCCCAGTGGAGGTTTATACGTCCACGGCGCTCTCTCCCTCCGATCAAACCAAAACTTGCAAATGTAATCGCCTTACCGCGATGGGTGGACGGTGTGCTCCAAGAGCACCTCGCCATCGTAGTTGATGGACTCGATGAAAATCTCGGTCTTGCTGATGGTGAGGTCGTAGAAGCCATACTGTGCCTCACCATACCAATCCTCCGTCTCCTCTGGGTTAGGCGTGGCCTCGGATGTGATGCCGCCACCACCACCGGTGACAATGCAAGTGACGCCCATGTGGTTCTTAGCGTGGTCGTCTGGAAGCCAGAGCTCCTGGTCATGGCGGTGTCCTGTCACCAGCAAGTCCATCCCCAGATTGCGCAAAGATGCATAGAAGTCCTGTTCATGTCCACAAGGGAAGTGGGTGACCACGATCTGCCAGTCGGCCTTGCTCTCGCCCATGAGCCGTGTGACCCACGGCTGCTGCTCAGCCCACAGCGATGCGAACCACCCAGGGCAGCTGTCCACGGACTCCGGCCCATCTGCCGCGGCACAGCTAGCGGAGGGCTTGTTGTTCTTGCGGCTGCACATGTTGTGGTTGGGGTCCTCCTCAGGCGGCATGGCGTCGATAAAGTTGGAGTCCAGGAAGAAGTAGTCCACATCGAAGCCGAGGTCTGCATAAACAACAGAAGTCTTGTAGTACGGTGCCGGCATGACCCAGCGATTGCTGGCCCAGGTGTAAGAAATCTGCTGATCCCAGCCGTTGTCGAACTTGAAGCCTCCCCAGTCATGGTTTCCCAGCACGCTGAACCAGGGCTTGTTGCTGAGGCCAGCTCCCTGGTAGACGCCCTCAAAGATCTGGTCGAACTGGTGCTTCGTCGGGTAGGAGATCTGGTCCATGGGGCTTCCGCATGTCTTCTCGATGCCCCCCCAGTAGAAATTATCCCCGACATTCAAAATATACTGCGGGTCCTTGAGTGCAGCACGAGCCTTGAAGGCGTTGGCCACCAGCAGTTGTGGCTGGTCATCCACTCCTGCGACATACCCGCACTCTGCCGTGCAAGGGGGCTGTCCTCGCGTGTTGAAGCACTCCACCAGCTGCTTGTGGTCACAGAACTGCACAGTGTGCTTCTTATTCCACCGGCTCCTGGGAAACACGCTGGGCCCCGGTCGACGACCCCAGTTGTAGGCTACGATGGTTTTACGGCCCTCCGGCGGATCCAGCGAGCCGTCCATGCCACCCCAGTCGCCAATAGCAAAGATGTGCATCTCCTGCGTGCCGTAGATAACTGTGGTCGGCCAGTGTTGACCCTTGTAACCCATGGCTGACTTCGGCGGGACGCAGCCCACGCCTTCGTTGTTACCATCGCAGCCAGGGCGGCGGCTAGCATAGAGCTGGTTGCCGGCGAAACAATCGTTGCAGGGAGGTTTGCTGCACCCGGTGCAGGGTGGGAGGCCGCAGAAGGAGTCACCAGGCGGCGAGCAGAAGTAGAGCCGCTGGAAGTCCTGAGCGTTTCCCTGCTCGTGGTCCACGCCCGCGATTGCCGGCATATTACGATACCAGCCTGCGGCCGATGTGTCCCACTTGCCGCCGCCAGCCGCCCACTCTACCACCTGCTTGCAGCCTGCATTCTCCGGCAAATCCAACCCGCCGCAGCGCACGCCTTGTGAGCCCACGCTCACCGTCTGCTTTCCTTACACAGACATGCCAAGTGCCACACCGCAGAGCTTCTTCCTACATGTTTGAATTTCCCGCTCGCAGGCCGCTACTTTACCATCTGAATTCTCTTGAATGCCCTCAAAAAATTGCAATGAGGCCTCCTCCTTGAAATTCACACAAAACCTACAAATGCCAACAAGTACAACAGCAAGTGTAAGGGCAGCAGCCATACAAGCAGCATGTTAGCAAAACATCGATAGCTGCTTTACCTACCTACGAAAGATTTCCTCACACGAGGCTTTTTGGGGGACATCTCGATGCCATCCCAAGGTCCCAGGAATTGGGTTGAGCGGTTCACCTGCGCCGCTGCGGGCAAAACTAAGCCCAGGATGAGCCAAGCCGCCATGGCTTCTGCACGAAGAGCCTGAGTGGGGATGGTGGACTCATGAATTGTTTGCTGACTCTAGAAATCTTCACGGGATCTGTGCTTTGTGACTTTTCGGTGATGGTGAACACTGGAGGGTTCTGTCAGGTTTCTGGACGGTTCCGTAAGGGTTCTTGTTGCAGCAGGACTCAGCATGAAGACGTGCGATTGCAGCCTTCAAGTGGATGCCAATTGTATTCGTTGCTGCTGCTGAAACCGCGACTCAACGCAAATCCAGAAATGTAGACACCCCAACACACCCGGCGACATCCTTCCACAAGATGGCGCGCGGCCCAACATAGGGAGTTCAGAAACATGGAGTCCTTTTCTCATGTTTTCGGGGGAAAGATTCACACTCAAATGCTTGGCTTATAGACATATACGAATCCTCTCAAATGAGCAGCCTCACCCAGTGAACCGAGCCGACTTACTCAGTAGTCGTTGGATATCTCTTCTTCACCCGATACCTCAAACATCTATCCCGTGATTGGTTACGGTAGCTATCAGTAGGTCAGTACACCGTCTAAATCCGCATAAACCAAGTCACAGCAAGGCTCGGAGACGAAGATCTACCGAAGCATGAGCCCCGATGGCCGCGGATGCAAACAACGCGGGTCAACGCGGGGCTCCAGTTTGCAGGCCCGATGATAAGTCAGTCTCTGCATGTGCAACACTTTTCAATTGAGGACTGGGCTACCAGAAACCGCCACGGCATCGTCTGGAATCTGCCCTCGGTTGAAGAAGTACAACACAAGGAGAAAATGTGAGCAACTTGACCCGCCTCTGTCTGCGGCCAACCAAACGCAGCTCGGATCCCATGATGGTCTGCCCGCAATTTGATTCCACGTCTGCCACAAATATGTACATGCATCACTTGTTGTCAGCTTCGCGCCCATAGTTTTCTTCTTCTTCCAGATCTTCCTACCAATGCCGGCAAGCGCTGGCGATGAGAGCGAGCTTATGGACAAATCTCACCCCTAAGCCTCTTCCTCCTGCTCCTCAGGATCGGTAGCATAGATGAAGAAAGAGGGCTTCATGCGGTAGCACACCTGCCATGCACTTCACGTAGTGCTCGTGTGCTCTCGAAGTTCTTCCCCTCTGTTCCGTCAAATGCTGCAAATTCTAAGGTTCAGTCTTTGATGTTGTCATCCCGGTGGACAACCTTGAACAGCTTTCAAATGCGGGCTCAACTTTGAACCTCTCGACACTGCCAACATGAGGCTGGCCTGCCTTCAAGGGCAAATGCCTCATCTCGCCAAAGGAGGCATGCTGAAGATGCAGCCGGCAGTCTCCGGAAGGTAACATCCTTGATTGACAGCACCGCATCTTTGATCCTTCTGATTCAAAGTGAACTACGGCTGCTTCAAACTTGGCGTGGTGCAGTTCACAAGAGCCTCTTGCATCGGTTGAACCAGCAATGCTGTCATCGCTCCCCAACGTGACGCTCACATCCGCAATTGGCGCTTCACAGCACGCAGTGACCTTTTGGAAACACTCGCAGTGCATCCACAAGTACTGCACATGGAGCCGGACAGACAGGAAGCAAAAAGCAGTCTTTCGCGCCATGAAGATGTGAAAACCGTTTCAATCAAGCGGCCACAAAGATATGGATGGGCACCAACCGACAGCCACGGATCTGCCAGCCAGGTCTGATGTTCTCGCCATCGTCCAACAGCCGTCCGGAGCCGCCGGATGTCAGCTCCAGCTGTATGAATGCCGGTGGCACACCAAGGCGCTTGGCAACCACATCCTGGAACGGGAGTGGAACGGGAGAGGTTGTCAGAGGCATGAATCCCGGAAACCAAACAGGCAAGCTTCCCGTAGTGCTTCAGCAGTAGGATGGTCTGGAATTACGAGCTTCAGCACCTTGCCGGAATCCTCCAAGAAAACATGAGGAAGACGAGCAAGCAACAAGATCAAACCAGACTCTCGAACAAAAAGATGCCAGAAAGCAGTCCAGAACTACATCTGCAGTGGGCTGAAGGCATCCCATTGCCACGGGACAATTCAAGAGCCGCAAATATTCAGAACCACCAAGCTCCTGAACAGCAGGGAAGCCTTTAAGCGAACAAAGCAAATGTGGCTGCCATCATGCATCACTGTGCCAAAGTGCTGGTCACTTAGAATGCCGTCAAGTCTTGAAACTGCAAGAATTCCTTCAGCCGCTCAGCCAGAGGTGACGGCTCTTTCGGCTGCCACTGGTACCCAGGCCGCACGACTTCAAGCTGCACTTCAGCCAAACCTGTGTGATGAGGAGGGCATCACTGGACACATGCGAAAAACTCTGGGCTCTCTGGGTCAAACCACGGAACTGCAGGCTGGACCAGTGGAGACTTGCTCACATGACCTTAGTGCAACATGGTGCTCGGAAGCGGGAGCCTAGACCAAGCGCAAATTGCGAATGTGAAGTTTGAATTTTGAGCAGGTCCCACAAGGCCAGGCTACAGCAGAGTGAACTCAGTCGGCTGTGAGGTGCTTAGAGGCGAGGAAATCTCCTCACTCCCATTTACATGCAACCTTTGAGGCAACTTGTACTCTCACACTGTTCTCTAACTATAGGCACCTATCTTAGCCCCAGGCATGAAAGCTCTGCGGGCTTCATGCCCAGTAATGAAGCAACGAAGCAACTGATGCATTATCAGCGTCTGTTTGTGGCTAACGGCTAGCATCGGCAGACAAACCCAATCCTCGCCGCCAGCCAGGCAGGCCCGCACTGAACCAGCAACACCAAATGCTTCAGCAGGGATCTGTTCCTCTCATGCTTTCAGGTTTGCTTTTTCTTGCAAGCTTTTACCGAAGGCTCGGCATGCCGTTTGCACACGTGATGAGTCCTGTGATGCGCAAATCCACACCAGAGATGGCTGGCATTCTGCATCCTGCCGGCCGCAAGGAAGGAAAGGCTCGACACAAGATGCAACCCAAGACTTCGAGTCGCACCAAGGCTGAGCTTGGCTCGGTTGGGCCCGAGTGAATCTTGCAAGTCAGGTGCAGTCGGCCAGGACGAATGCACAGAAAAGAAAGAACAAAGTACTGCTAAAACTGCTCTTGGGGCTGGGTGGCCAGCATTGTTTTGTTGACGGTTTTGGAGGACGTCTTCAACTAACAGCCAGCTAGGGCCAGCGTCCTGTTCATCTTCTTCGGCCTCCGGGTCTGTGGCGTAGATATACAAACGCACCTCAGCATTCTCACACATAAGATGGCTTGGCCACAATGTCGGCATACCCCATGCACAACGGAGCCACGCAAAGAAGCTAACCCTATTTAAGCACAGCACATCTGCAAAAACCGTATGTGTGTCCACCTCGCTTGGTATCATAAAGCTCTGGCTTCTTCCGGTACCGAAACTTGGATGCCTGCCAGCATTGCAGCACGCAGACTTGTATGAATCGCTGTGCTTCTCAATGCAAAGCCTCAGGCTGGCCAAGCGCCGTCCATGCGGCAGCATCAGCTGGATGCACCCTTCCTCATTTGCACTGGTGGAAACTGCAAATGCTCTCTCTATTTCTGGGCGTAGGGTGGGGCATGTTCCCTCATCCCCAGTGTCGTGCCTCTTTAAGCTGTCAAACTCTCTTCCTTTTTGTTCACGCTACACTCGGTCTAACCCCGTGAAAACCAGCACCCGCGTCCACCCTTGAAGGATAACACCCTCCAGCGCCTTGTGGTACCAGTAAACCCCTGTCACTACTCTACCGACCTGCGCTTCTGAGCCTCCAACTTGGTTAACATGACTGAGCGGAACATCAAGACCAGCACTACAAAGCTTGTCATACAAAAAGCAGTCCGGATTCAACCTACTGGCCGCATCAATCCTCCAATTTTTCTGCTGGTCGACCAGCGTATCTTATTCTTCTTCTCAGAGCTGCGTGCTCCCGTCAGGAGGAGCGCTCAGCGGGGCCCCAGAAAAGCCTTTTGCAGATCCAATTGAAAACTCCGGTCCGCAGTCCCACGCTTCCTTCACTTGCCTTGGAACTGGCTTACCCCATCTGCTTGGCAAAGGTTGACTCTCTTCAGCTTGGCAATTCATCCACGTAATGCACCAGCTATACCTTGCTGGTAGGAAACAGCTTGACATGGCTCCCAATTTGCCGTCCATCTGAATGCTGTACCGTAAGGTAATCTCTTACGGGGCTTCAGGCGACAAGGGGGCTTGCCTGGAAAGCAGTTTCGGTGTGTCCAGCCAGGTCCCCGCCCAGGCACCCCTACAACCGGGGACGTGTTGATTTATGTTTGTCCTTGGAGTGCCAGCACAACTTTGTGGAGAAGAGCATTTGCTTGATTCTCAACGGAGCATTCAGGCAACTTTGCCTTCAGCGGGGCATGTTTAAAGCTCTTCTGACATGCTGGAGGTGTTCGCGTGACATATTCTATTTCTATACGGTCCAACTTATTGTTCGCTATGTGTGCGGTATGGTTGCCAGTTTGCCTTGATTGGTTGGTCACCCTGAGCGCTGCTAGTATCTATGTCCAAAAGCGCGTCCAGCAGTCTCGCTGGACTGAGTCTGACTTGGCTTGGCTCACGCTTAGCAGGATTGGGCCAGGCTGCCGTGGCTACTATGGTTGCGTCTTGGTTGCCGTTGCTGTGATTGTGTGCGACTCTCTGCCAGTTTTTTGGGTCGCTGAATGCTTGCCCGAGATTTTGCCACGATGAGCATCTGGAATTCGAGCTCGTGTAGCTTATGATGACCAGTAAGGTTTCGACCGGCTTGATTTCGCATGCACCGGGGGCGCCTGGAAGGGGCCGGACCCCAACCCAGCCAAGGCCAAAGATGAGTGGAGACTTGAACCAAATGGCACCTTCTTCTCCTTCTGCTCCGACATGACATTCTACCCTTTATCATGTGCTTTTGCCAGCTACTTTCCTGGAAATCGTGCTGCCGTGGTTCAACGTCAGTGCTGCCATATGTTTGCCCGTCAACCTCCACGGCAACATTGCTGAGGCCTTGCTCTTCAGACGTGTCCGGCAAGAGAACCTGAACGTCTCT